CAATTTAATTTTCATGTACAAAGGCCTTGCATTCTAAATTTTTATCATTTACTTTCAAGCTCAGAGGCTAATTGCATTTTTATTTTTTGGCTCAGAGGCCAAGCATTTCAAAAATTTTTCATTTAATATCGAGCTTAGAGGCTCATTGCAATTTAATTTTCAGGCTCAGAGACCTTGCATTTTAAATTTCTGTCATTTAATTTCGAGCTCAGAGGCTCATTGAAATTTAACTTTTGGCCTTAGAGGCCATGCAATTTAAATTTCTGTCATTTAATTTCGATCTCAGATGCTCATTACAATTTAATTTTCCGGCTAAAAGGCCAAGCAATTTAAAACTGTGTCATTTAATTTAGAGCATAGAGGCTCATTACAATTTAATTTTCAGGCTTATAAGCCTTGCATTTTAAATCTATGTTTCAAGCTCAGAGGCTCATTGCATTTGTTTTTCAGGCTCGCGGGCCATACATTGTAAACTCATGTCCAGTTAGTTACAAAGTTTTTACCATTCTGTTTTAACCCATATTGGTTATAAATTTTATGTTTTTCTCGTTTGTTAACCCATACTCAATTGGTTGCAAATATTTTTTGGTTCCAAGTTTCCTTTTCAGATGAATTCAAGCATTTAATTTTCAGGCTCAGAGGCGTTGCATTTTAAATTCATATCATTTACTTTCGATATTAGTGGTTCATTGCGATTTAATTTTCCGGGTCAGAGCCATGCAATTTAAATTTAGGTCATTTAGCTCATTGCAATTTAATTTTTTGAGTCAAAGCCATGTAATTTAAATTTAGATCATTTAATTTCGATCTCAAAGGCTCATTAATTTAATTTTTCGGCATAGAGCCCATGTATTGTACTTTTGTCATTTACGTTTGAGCTCGTAACTCCCTACATTTTCAACCCATTTTATAAATTTTAGGTTGCATCTACCAACATATATTTTCTACTACTCTTAGACAAAATTAGGATTCATATCTTTATTTGTTCCTTATAACATAATATGTAAATTATAATTTGTCATATTATCTAGTAAGAAACAAATAAAGAGGGACAACTGTGAACACCTAATTTTGAAAACCTATTTTTGTCCTTAAAGAAGAAGAAGAAAAAACAAGCAAAATAAAGAGAAAAATGCGATGGAGTCGTTTGGGGAAAAAAGGAATGAGCAGGTCTTCTTCCAGCATCGATATCTCCTTCATCCATCGTGTGATCGAGCTGAAACTTTTTTAGTAAGATCTTAACTCATTGTTCTTCACATTTAACGGTGGATTTGTTGTTTGGACGTCTACATCATTCCCAAAAAATTTAAAACAGAAATAGTTCTTCTAGACAATTCTACAGCAATCAACGATTTTACGAATGTCATTTCTCTCAATTGAACCGTTGGATCAACCTTAAATTTTGTGAGAGTGTTCCTCTATTATGATACTTCGATCTTACCAGTCCGATTTTTGAGCTGAGTTCCCTAGTGGTAGATATAAATTTTGGAAGATGGTTCACTTGTTTGTTAGAACATATATTGTTTCGAGAAGCAGTATTGCGAAGGTCATCTCTCTCAATTGAACTATTTGATCATCCTCAAATTTGGTCAGTGTTTGGTCCTAGAGAACCGTATAGTACTACCGTAAGGTATGCGCTCAGTGATACCCTATAGATAGGTATCTTGGTTGGCTTATAGTCAATATTCCAATTACTGCGTACAAGCAATATGCTTATAGCCGAGACTTTGGTGTGTGCACAGTGTGGGCAGTAGTAGTAAATGAGTTTAGAATTGTGTACCTGGGGGTCTTAAGCTTGTATTTATAGGGGTTGCCTCTTGGGCTGTGTAGATCTCTCAGTTGGTGTAGGATTCAACTCCTTTTTTTATAGGGATAGAGGTTCTATCCTCATTATCTTTATTGTTTCATGCTGTTAAGATAATTGAGTCATTATCCTTTAAGGAATTCTTGAATAGGTAGTTAGGATATGGATATATTCCATAACAGTTTCCCCCTAGCCTGGCATTATCTCGGACTCGGTCTTGCCGGGGTCGTTGATTTGGAGATCGTGCTCCTTTGTTGTTGTGTTGATGAGCGGAATATGAACCCGACGTTTAAGATGTCGGTTGGGTTATGAGCCCGACATGGACAATTTTTCCTTTCCTTCTTCGTTCTGCCGGGGACTCGTTTTGTCGTATTTGGTCGTGGTATTAACCTCGGCATAGTGTCGCGGATAAGGTTAAATCTGGCCTTTGTCATGTCAGCGTGAACTTCCGCTTCTTGCCTGCAGTGACGGTTACGACGCTCCACGTGTTTCATGCTCATTGGTGGTTCATGCATTGTGGAGCGCATGTCGTCCTGAACCTGCACAGGTCATGTTTGCATTGGTCGTTGCCCTGACCTCCGTCTTCATGTATGTTCTCATTTTGAGTACCTCGGCCATGTTGAGTCACCGGATTTTGGCGTTCCCGCCCCTCTGTTTCAGCTCAGCCTTCTCTTCCAGCTCGGCCTTTAGCGTTTTGGTTTCGCAGCTAGGCTTCCAGTGCTTCCATTCTTTGGGCATTCAATCGCTGTTGAGCTAGGAACCTGTTCTCCATTTCTTGCATCCTTTGAAGGATTGCATTCAGGGCGGTGTTAGCTATGTGGCTGTCAGCTCCGAGTTGTTCACTCCACGGTGGCTGATGTACTGACTCCATCGCAGGGTTGCTTCGGGTCGTGATGTGCAATGACTTAGTGCCGACCTCTCCTAGTTGGTGTAGGATTCAACTCCTTTATTGTAGGGATAGTGGTTCTATCCTCTTTATCTTTGTTGTTTCATATTGTTAGGATAATTGAGTCATTATCCTTTAAGGGATTCTTGAATTGGTAGTTAGGATATGGATATATTCCATAATAGTCGGTGTGTTCCACTCTTGTGATACTTCACTCAGATTTTTGAGTTGATTCCTCTAGTGTTAGATATAGATATCGAAAGATGGTTGTCCACATTGGAAAAAAAAACAATAACTTTCCTCCAAAGTCCCACATTGAACAACTCTCATTCCTTCCCTCTAGATAAAGACCTTCTCCTTACACCTAAACACACACTCGATGATACCAAAAATCACAACAAATACACAGACACTTGAGCTTACTCTTAAAGCTCGTGTCATAGTATTCTTTTTTTTTTTAAAGGAAATTGGGCTTAGTTTTAAAAATAAGCTGGTGTCATAGTAATTTTTTGTCTTTGAAGATTAATTAATCTGTGACGGCTTGTTAATCTCAAAGTTTTTTTTTTTGGGCATCAAGCTACTGGATTGCGATAGCTCTCCACAACTTGGCTCCAGACACCAAGTTTTGTCGCCTTTGAGGTAAGTCCATTTACCCTCCCCTTTAGTTAATAATTGTATATTCTTTGCATTTTTTTTATGTTCTTTATTTGTTTTATTAGAAATTTTCTTTTTTTTGCATGCTTTTATGATTTTTAATTTTTTTTATTATAAATTATTATATATAGTTTAGAAATTATATTAGAGATTAATTTAGTTGTGACGACTTGTTAATCTCATAGTTTTTGGGTCATTTTTTTTTTGATAAATAGTTTTTGGGTCATTTTAACTGTGACAACATGATGACTCGAGCTTATTTATAATAATAATTTTATATTAAGGATTAAGGATTAAGGATTTTATATTAAGGATTAATTTATTTATTTTATAGAATTAAGGATTAATTTAGTCTTGACAGTTATTAATCTCGTAGTACTTTTGGATTATTTTAGCTACGACAGCTTGATAATCTGAAACCTTCAAATCCAAAACTGTGAAATGAATTTTCTTTAAAATTATTTTCAAAAATTAAAATCAACCAAAACACAAATATTTCTTACAGAACGAAGTAGCTTTGAGATCCTCATTGCACAAGAGAATACGTTAGAGCATAACTCTTTTCGTGAAGCCTAAAATAAAATCTTAATAATTTAGTTTTATTTTCTTTTAAATAATTATATATCTCTTTTAAGAATAAAATAAATATTTTTAAAAGCTATTAATAATTTACACAATTAATTAAAGGTAATTATTTTTAAACGGATGTGTCATGTGTAGTGGAATTAAGTTTCCACATTCTTTGTGCATAATTAAATTCTCGAACATTGATCTAAAATTTTAGAAATCAGTTTGCAATAAAGCAATTTTTCGAATTTGTTTTATATAAAATAAAATTAGTGGCGACTTCATTCTTTTTATTTTTAAAAATTTCGGGTCGTTACAATTACTTATATGCCGAGTATAATTCCCCAATGCAATTTCATGAATATTTCGAATATCTCTTAATCTTTTAAAAAATATTTTTTTTATTTCTTATAATAAATAACTTAAGACAATTATTTGCAAATTCCTTTAGAAAATTGTCACTATATGGTTACGAAACAAAGAGAAAGTTGTAAATAATTAAGTGGCATCAACTTTTTTATTTTAAAAAAAAAATGTTTTTGACTTTTGGTGCTCCATAATACTAAAAACTAAAAAGCAAAAAAAATTTCCTGTTTTATGTGGTGTCCAAATGTGAGTGGAAAAAACTACATATTTAAGTGAAAAAAGGAGACAGAAAATCTACAAAGTGAGAGCAGATCTTGCGTGCGGATCTACAAAATTTTCACCACCAAAATATAATCCCCACAACACCATATTATAAACGTGTCATCCTCCTAAATCAAGATTTAAACAAAAGACAAAATGGTGGTAATTCAGTTGCTAATAAGTAAGTTGACTAGGTGAAAAGAAAGTGCTTCGGTTCGATCTTTACATATTATATTTGACAGACGATTAATTATATTTATACCTGACCCCTCTTGCATTCGTGATTAGTTTTATAGCCGACTCAAAATATTGAAACTTGTAAAGATATATACCACGAAAAAAAAAAACCCGCTAATTAAGTTTGGGTTAACTAAAAAAAATTAAAACAAAAGACTTTAGGCATGCAATTATTCATTCGTATGATTGAAAGAAGAAGACACGGGTTACTTATAAAATTGATTACAACATAGCAAAAAAGATCAAGCCATGGAAGAGATAAAGAACCCATCTGGGACTTCTCTTCTGGTACCATCAGTTCAAGAGTTGGCTAAAGAGAACATATCTACTGTTCCACCAAGATACATTCAGCCTCAACAAGAACACTTGGACATCTATGAAGCTGATCCTATCCTTGATATTCCAGTTATTGACATGCAGCTCTTGCTTTCTGTAGAATCCGGGATTTCAGAATTGGCTAAGCTTCACCTTGCTTGCAAAGAATGGGGATTCTTTCAGGTCTCTTTTCTCTTCTTATCCTTCAATTTCTTAAAACTATCAGACATCAGTGTGTTGGTTTCTGAATAGCAGTCAACATACGCTTTATTCGGAAAATTCGAATTATCAGTTGATTTAATTGTTAATCCTTCTTGTAGTTGGTAAATCATGATGTTAGTACTTCCTTGGTGGAGAAAGTAAAGTTGGGGATTCAGGATTTCTTCAATCTTCCAATGTCAGAGAAGAAAAAGTTTTGGCAAACTTCACAGCATATGGAAGGATTTGGACAAGCATTTGTTCTGAGTGAAGACCAAATACTTGATTGGGCTGACATGTTCTACATGACCACACTTCCAAAACACTCAAGAATGCCCCACTTATTTCCGCAGCTCCCTCTTCCTTTCAGGTTCTCTTCTCTTTCTCTCTTATGTGTGTGTGTTTATGTCTACATATTCATATCTCAAAGGTTTGGCATGTCTATTCATTGCTCTATGTCATGCAGAGACACTCTAGAGCTATACTCTCAGGAACTGAAAAATCTTGCTATGGTTATTGTTGCAAATATGGGAAAAGCTTTGAAAATGGAAGAAATGGAAATGAGAGATTTATTTGAAGATGGGATACAAATGATGAGGATGAACTATTATCCTCCATGTCCTCAACCAGATAAGGTTATTGGACTCACTCCCCATTCAGATTCAATAGGTTTCACCATCCTCCTACAAGTCAATGAAGTAGAAGGGCTCCAGATAAAGAAAAATGGCATGTGGGTTCCTGTTAAACCCCTGCCTAATGCCTTCATTGTCAACGTTTGGGACATACTAGAGGTAGTATATATATCCATTCACATCACAATTTTATAATATCAACTAGAAAATTCTTGAAATTCCACTTGTCTAATTCATAGCATGTGCCGTAAATTGTTGAATTATAACAATGGGATTTGCATTCATTATTTAACATGACACAAAATTTTTTTCTACACACAATATTTTGTGGGGCTTACACTTTTTAAAGCAAAAAAAAAAACTACTGCACGCAAAACGAATCTCTTTAACATTACACAATTATTTTTCCTACAACATAACTCTTATAAAATCCTATAACTATTTAGTACCTTAACTCTCTATTTCAAATCTTGTAAAATTTAAATAAAAACAATCATATCATCAAAAGATTTTTATTTGAGTAAATATTATTTTTGGTCTTCAGCAAATTCTACGATGTCTGCTTTAGTCCTTAGCAAATAAAAAAGCTATTCGTGGTCCCTAATAAATTCAAAGTGAACCCGTTTTAATCCTTTTGAGGGACTAATGTGAGTCTTTTTTGAATTTGTGAGGGATCACGGTTTCAACTAAATAAGTTCATTTTGAATTTTTTAGGGACCACGAATAGCCTTTTAATTTGCTAGGGACTAAAGCGAGTATCGTGAAATTTGATGAGGACCGATTTTTATTTATATATATATATATATATATATATATATATATATATATATATATATGAATTTAATTGTTTGCATGTTTTACGAGGCAAGATTATAACTAATGGAATATACCGAAGTATTAAGCATCGAGCAACGGTGAACTCTGAAAAAGAAAGGCTTTCGATTGCAACATTCAACAGCCCTAGACAAGATGGAGTGATAGGTCCAGCAGCAAGCTTGATCACTGAAGAAACACCAGCAAGGTTCAAAAGAGTCGAAGTAAAGGAGTATTTCAAGGGCCTATTTGCTCGTAAACTTGATGGAAAGTCTTACATAGATTCCTTGAGAATATAAGAGCACCATTATTCAAGCCATTAAAATTACGTAGATGCAACCTCTCATGCGTGCATTGTTAATAAAAAGTCAGAACATTATGTCTTGTAAACCATAAGGAATAAGGCCCAGCCAAATTGGTCACAAATTTTTATTTTTATTTTGTTTAATATATATGTTTATGTATCAAGCAATCTCATGTTTCCCAATCACCATACATCCTGCTCTAGGTAGTTGATGTTCCGTGCAAGATTGCAAAGAAGAAACCATTTTCTTGAGGATAAATTCATAAAACTAAAAAAAAAAAATATGTGGGTCAACATACACATATTTCACCCAAGGCTTATTTATGGAATGATTCGCTTCACTTGAGTTCATATAAATTTTTTAATACATTGTTTTTTTTTCTTCATATTCCTAAGGGAAGGTATAATTCGATTCGGTTTGATTTTCGATCCAGATCGATTTTCAAAAATATTCAGTTCTTAA